TGGTGGAACCGACCTTCGAATCTCTTCACCCAACACTTTCACTCGAAATGGAAGTAAGCTCAACAAGCATGCCTTTAATCTTTCTAAGAACCGCCAAAACACTTCATGCGACGCCCCATAGCCGAAGTTCCAGAAGAATGAAAGTACAATTGGTTTACATGGGATCCAATAGATAAGCAGTGTCTTCAAGACATCTCGACTATACCTGACTAGATCTTGCTCTTGAGAGTAGTCCTCATGCACAATAAGCCCATGGCAAACTTTACTCTATTATGCGATTGATATTCACAGAAAAAAACCAGCATGTCTGTCTAAAAGATTTTGCTAGGTTTCTGAAAAATGTTGGCCCGGAATTTAACGAGTGCGTTTGTAGGTCCCTTAATAGGAGGAAAGCCCGCTAATACTTGAAATTTAAGAAAGGAGAAGTAAAAAGCCAGACTGAACCAGGTCTGGTGATGTGAACTATTAACATAATCTACCCAAAGTCGAATTTTGCTCTACCTACGACGAAGTGAGGGGAATATTTTACCCTCGTTCCAGTGTTTATCCAAAAATTGTGTTCTAATCCAAGCTGGAGTACAGTTTCATCATTGTCCGATAGTGTCAGCCCCGGCGGGATTCGAACTCAGAGTGTATGGTTCCAGAGACAGAAAAGTTACTCTCTAGGCCAGCTGCGCCAAACTATAGCCAGTTTTAAGCTGATACGACTTAGGTTGGGCTGAAGATGCTGTCGAGTATGCTTGATGGCAATATTTTTGAATAAAAACTACACATAAATTAGAATAAAAAATCATAAAGCTTTTCATCTACAATGACCAAATGAGCCGTTAATCTTCACACACCAATAACTGTGAATTCCTACTTAACCAAAAACCGCTGGTAGTTTCAGCGCAAAATCATCAGCATAACTTCAACGTTTAACATTCACTGGTCAACTTTTTCCTTAGAAAAAAGGGCTACAAATAAAAGAGACTCTTAGCTACACACTCAGAAGGGGACGCATGAACTAGTCACGATATCGCTCCGATGCGGATGAAAGGAACAGTTTTACTAACGACTCTAGCTTAAAATGGTTGCTTATTTCCATTACACAATTAATATCTATAAAAGAGCTGGCAGATGAATGAAAGTGGGCAGAGTTATGAAGTAACTCTTATTGACATGACTTGAATTCTTTTGATAATCGAGTATTGCAAGAATTTTCCATCGTCCATCTGCCTCGACAACCAAAATACTTAAAATCACATGTTTACGGGGCGAAAAAGGTCTCTGACCATTTTTATACCTGCAATGCAGCAGTTAAAGCATTGAAGATAATCGCCTTAAAATGTGTAAAGCTGCACTGGTTGGCGAGCCATTTTGCGAATGAGGGAATGATTGAACTAATACTTAATCGAGATAAGCGTTCGGATAAGGCTCGGGTCGTATAAATGCCATTATTGTGGCTTGCAAAGAGATGTCTCAATAAGATAGGATACCAACTTCATTCCTTTTAGTGATGTGAACGCATGAGCCTTAGGT